TCCCGACTAGGGGTGGGGCTGAGGTACCGGCATATTGGGACACTGGAAGACGAGAGGCCATTTATTGAACTTCCCATTCACTGGTCCCTACAGACTGTAGAGCATGTGTTGGCACTGGTGGATACAGGTGTTGACTCAACTCTCCTCTATGGCAACCTGGACAAGTTCCAGGGCCCCTCTGCAGTCATAGAGGGGTATAGTGGACAAACAGTGCAGGTGCAATGAGTGACTCTGACTTTGGGAATTGGATGTGGTCTATGTGTCTCTGATAGCAGAATATATTTTAGGGGTGGATGTACTTTATGGCCAAATGATGCAAACAACTTGGGGGGAGTTTCGGTTGCACGTGCGTGTCGTAAAAACGGTGCAACGAGGTCACCCCCACCACACACCTTTGGTGTTGCCACAAGCCACCCATACAGTGAACATTAAACAATACCAACTGCCCAGTGGACAGGAGGAAATTGGCCAAACCATTTTGTGGTTGGAGGAAGCACACATCACCCACCTGGCACACAGCCCTTTTAATTCACCCATGTGGCCCATGAAGAATCCAGATGGCACTTGGAGAATGACAGTGAACTATTAGGAACTAAACAAAGTGACTCCCCTGCTGCATGCTGCAGTACTAAACATTACTGACCTGATGGATAAACTGACTGTGATTTTGGGGACTTACCACTTTGTGTTGAACTTGGCTAATGCCTTCTTTTCCATTGACATTGCACCAGAAAGCCAGGATCAATTCACTTCACATGGGAGGGCCACCAATGGATGTTTGTGGTCCTCCCACAAGGATACTTGCACAGTCCTACTTTGTGTCACAGCTTGGTGGCTAGTGACCTGGCCACCTGGCCCCATCCGCCCTTGGTTCAAGTGTTTCATTATATAGATGATATCATATTGACTTCTGATTCTCTTCCAGATCTAGAAGCTATGGATCACAGTTTGCACCAGGACCTCCAGGGGGTGGGGGTGGGCCGTCAATGAAGACAAGGTTCAGGGGCCTGGTTATTCTGTCAAGTTCTTGGGTGTTGTCTGGTCGGGTAAGACAAAAGTATTACCTGAAGCAGTGATTGATAAAATACAACAGTACCCCTGCCCAGAAACTGTTAAGCAACTACAAACATATGTGGGCTTGTTGGGGTATTGGAGAATGTTTATCCCTCACTTAGCTATACTGTTAAAGCTGCTGCATTGCCTGGTAAAGTGAGGGGAAACATGGGACTGGACGCCAGAGGTAGAAAAGGCTTTTGCTGAAACAAAAAGAGCAGTGGCTCAGGGCCAGATGCTGTGAGTCACTGAACCCTCCATACTGTTCCTGCTGACGGTGTCTACCAGCACGGTTGGGTATGGGTGGGGATTATGGCAGAAGAACAAGGCCCACAAAGTCCCACCCAATAAGGTTTTGGTCTCAGTTGTGGAAGGGAGCAGAGGTTTGCTATTCGCTGTTGGAAAAACAACTGGCAGCAGTGTATGCTGCTTTACTGGCTACTGAAGGAATCACAGGACTACAAGCAGTACAGGTCATTACTGCTATCCTGATTGAGGGGTGGGTGTGAGCATGGGCTCTCCCCAGCCTGGGGTTGCCCAGACACCCACCCTGACCAGGCGGGGAGCCTATTTAGAGCAACAGGCTAGATTCTCCAAAAGCCTCTCTCACAGGAATTGCAGCAAGTCCTGGGAGCATTAATCTTTGTGGTAGAACCTGCACCCACCCTATGAGGAGGGGACGGGAATGCCACCAGCAGAGGCCTGGTATTCAGATGGATCCACAAAGGGCCATCCACCAACATGGGTGGCTGTTGTCATTCAGCCTTAATAGGAAGAGTTCTGGGGTAGGACAATCCAGCCAATGGGCTGAATTACAGGTGGGGTAGCTTATTTTGACTAGGAAATCAGGTCAGATAACTGTCTATACTGACAGTTGGGCTGTGTTTCATGGCCTCACTGTCTGGCTGCCCATTACAGGACTGGGAAATCGGCAATTGTCCACTTTGAGTACAAACGATGTAGAAAGACCTTTGGACCTGTGGGTTAAAGGAAGGTGCCCTGATATATCACATCTCAGGACATTGCCCAGCATTAAGTCCTGGGAATGACATGGCTGATGCCCTGGCCAGGGCTCTTATGCTTCAGGAACTGCCTGCTATGGACATGGGACCATGGTAGCATAAGAAACTAGGCCATGTAGGCCCTAGAACCACATGTAAAGTTGCCCAGAGATGGCACATTCCACTGACGTTTGCTGAAGCAAAACAAGCTGTGAAGCATGCGCTCAATGCGCTTCCTTTTACCTACATCATCGTTGGGTACCCATGCAAGAGGGACAGCTCCCCTGCCCTCCAGAACCCTTACAGGTATGGCAAGTAGATTACAAAGGGCCCTTTCCCAGTAATCAGGGATGTAAACATGCATTCACAGCAGTGGACATGGCTACAGGATTGGGTTTTGCTCATCCCGTGGCCCAGGCTACCCAACAAGCTACTAAATGGGCCTTGGAGCACTTATGTACCAGTTACGGGCATCTGCTAATGGTCAACAGTGACAGGGGGAGCCACTTTACAGGATAGGAGGTATGAGAGCAGGCTCAACAACAGGACATTGTATGGTGATTACATGTGCCCTATCGACCCCAGGCAGCTGGAATGATAGAAAGGCAGGCTGTTAAAGGACAAATTGAAACATTTAGGATGTACACAGTGGGTAGAGCATTTACCCGTAGCAGTACGCTTGCTGAATGAGCAACCAAGGAAAACTGGGGAAAGTCCCATAGGGAGGTTGTTGGTAGCTTGCCCACATGTCTTGAAATATTTAAAACAAGGCCCCAGTGAGTTGCAGCCACAGTTGCTGGAAGAAACATTGCTCCTTCCTGCCCCATGTATGCTGTCTCCTGGCTGCATGGAGGAGTGGACATGGCCATGGACCTTGGTGTTCGAAGGTCTATGAGGACCTTGGTGTATGACGTATGGGGGGAGGGGATGACCCATGGGCTACACATTACACCATGGATAGGAAAGTGGCCTTTTAAACTGATTGCTTCTTGCTAGAGAGAGCAACAGCCATATTGGCAGGGACTTTGGTCATGCGGGTGTGGCCAATACCACAATTTCTATTGAAGGCTGAACCTCATACTCTGCCAATGTCTTTGAGCACTCTAGTCTGGTGTCACAGACCAGGAAAATAGCCCCTGGCAGCCACTGTTTTGTTGCAGGATGACAAGGTTGCTTGTATCTTCCGAGATAACCAGGACTTGCCACTGATGGTGTCTTTGCTCTGTCTTTCTGCCCAGGTTGGCAGAGAGCAATAGTATGGTGGCATGGGCTCATACTTTTGCCCAAGTACATAATGTCTCACTGCTGGGTATGTATGGAACTGCCAATAGATATCACTGCTGGAGTGCTGTGGAAAACGGCTCCCACCAATCTGTCTGCGTGGGAACACCTTCAAGCATGGAATCATAGTGATGCCAAAGGTGAAACAAAATGGCATGCAACTGAACAGTTGATCCAACAATCAGCACATACTCTTTCTGGGGAGGGTACCATGTGTACTGGGCGGGGATGGATGTCTAGTATACATGAAACCTTGCAAAAATAGCTCTGCTGTGTATTGAACAGCAGGTTTCCATACCCAATTGCACAGTTGGCTGGTTACCCAGAGAACTGTTTGCCAATGTCAGTGTTAATCGCACCCCTAAGTGCTGGTAGGACAGTCGCACCCATGTGGGCACTGTCAGCTGACTCCCTGCCGGAAGAAAACATTTGGATATGTGGGGAATATGGCTGCTCCTATCTCCCTGCAAATTGGACAGGCTGTTGTACATGGGACTGCCTATACATATCAGGACAGATACTATGAACCCTGCTGTGGCCCATGCATAATTGGGGTGCTGTATATGCCCGTTGGCATCATCCCAAAGGGACGGCATGGTGGTTTTACCCTCTGGCTATTTTCCTTCCAGGAGCTGGCACTATAGATGTAGAATTACAAATAGAAGCCCTGGCACAGCATGTTGCTCATGCCCTGAATATAACAAGGTCCTCGCTGGCCCCATTGCTAGATGAAGTCACCCAAATGCGGAAGGTGGTTTTACAAAACAGCATGGCTCTGGATATACTCACAGCAGCACAAGGGGGCACCTGTGCCTTACTGCACATTGACTGCTGTGTTTATATTCCAGACTGCCAGCAGCATACAAGCTGAGCTCTGAAAAATAGATGATGAAGTGTCTCAGATACAAGCCTTAATCCCAAGATTCCCTATCTACTTGGTGGTCACAGCTTGGTCCCATTTGGTGGTGGTTCCTAACCACAGTGGCCACTGGGGCATGTGGCCTTCTTGTCTGTTGTTATTCATTATATTGTTTCTGTGGGCTCTGGGCACAGAGCTCTGCTTTGTGTGCAAGAAAGAAGCAGACGTTTGCTGTTCTATTAGAAAGGGGTAGGATGTAGGGAAGCCCTCCCCCCCACTTTCCCTACTGTTCTATAAGGACAGCTGTCTGCTGCTTCACCCCAGATAAGTCTGGCCTTGAGAAACCTTGAAAATACAGTGTGTTGTACCCATGAGTAAGGAGCTAGATAAGGGCCTTGAAGGCCAGACACCTGGCCATGAAGGCCACGCACATGCGTGTCTCCAATACTTATGTAACCATGAATTGGCACTATAACAGTATAAAAAGTACAGCTTTATGCAGAACAAAGTGGATTCTTTTGAGCACCCTCCATGATGACTCCTGCCTCTTTCTTTGCTCTTCACGTTGCCCCAAGACCTCAACGGCAACCCCTGGGTCCTGACAGTGGGATAGAGGGAAACTACTAAAGACAGGCTGGTAAAATTGTGGGGGCTCCATTATCACACCTAGGCACCAAAGAACCTGGAGACAGAGAGCTATATAGAGAGCACCACCTGATAGCAGCAGCTGTAACCATTGTCAAGTTATGCAGCCAGCCTGAGATGACCATGCTAGGAATACAGACAGGGAACTACATGCCTCCCACCTGTCCTCCTTTCTCCCTCTGATCTCCTGCTGGGTCTCCTCAGGGACAGAGCTCACCCGGAAGCCAAAGGACACAGGAGCCTATTGGTGGAGTCCATAGAGGTCTGCTTTCTTGGCACAGAGCAGGTAAAGAAGGATAGATGGGTCTGGAAGGCAAAGAATACATAGTCGGCACATGTAACTAGTATTTACAGCTGAGCTCATTTAGTGTTTTTTACTTTCTTGAGTAACTATTTGCCTTAGAGTCAATAATGGGCTCTTTTCCTTTTAAAATTATTTTGGTTTCTTATGTTTTAAATCTATTTTTTACTTTTACTAAAGTTATTCAAACTCCTAAATGATCAGTTCCACAAGGCTAGTAATGAAAAAAAACACAGTCTTCTGCATCCCATCACCCCCATTTTCCACTTCCCAAAGGCAACTGTTTGCTTCTCTCCTAACTGTTTCTTTTGGCATTTCTCTTCATATCATTAAATGATGTACTTACAGTAATAACTCTTGCTTTGTGCAATGTAGGCATTATCTATAGATGTCTTAATTTGAAAAATGAAGATTTTTGCTCTTTCACTAATTCCTCCCTCCTTGCTTACCACATATAGCCACACTATCCTTTCCCTAAGCTTCCCAATACAGATGTATCACAGTTTGTCTAAACCAATAATCATTCTTTACATTATTATGATTATGTAAATGTAATTCATGGCTAAACTATGTAGTACCCCATGATTACTTTTCCTTGCTCATTAGACTTTTTCTTTTTCTGGAATTAATAGTTGTCTGGTTTTTTTGTTTGTGTTGTTTCCTATATATGTAAAATGAATTCATCCCCCAGATCTTTCATTTAATGTCTAACTCTCCTTTCAATATATTCAAATTTATTAAGTAGTCCATCAATTTCAACTTCTTGAAGAACACATTCCTGGAGATATCAGACCTGCTCCAATCTATATTGGATGCTTTCTACTCCTAGTGCTCAGCTACTGTCTTGGAGTTTCCTGTCATTAGCATCCTTGATTCTCCTGTCACCTCTCTCTTGATTTACATCCCCTGTTTCCTGGTTCCCATATCTCTTTCTTGGTTCTATCCCTTGTTTTCCTGAAGCAGTTCCAGTAGCTCCTGAGAATTAGGTACATGGGAGGTAAATTTTTTGAGACTTTGCATATCTGAAAATGTCTTTAATTTGGCCTCACATTGATAAGATTGTTTTGTAGGTACAGGATTCTAGGTTGGAATTCACTTTCCTTGGCATTTTGAAGGTATTGGCCCACTGTCTTCTAGGTCCCAACATCAGTTTACAGGCTTATGTAGGCTCTCTCCCCTTATTGTCATAAGATAGCTTCCATGGGTTCAGGCATCACATCCAACCACTACAATATGTAGTTGCAGAAGAGAGTAATTTCTTCCTTGTGTGTCTTTTTGAAAGTAAAAAAACCTCCCCCAGAAATTCCTCACAGACTTCCCTTCACATCTTTGGCAAGTGTTGGGTCACAAGTCTGCCTTTAATTTAACCACTGACAAAGTGGAATAGGATCATCCTGATTGGCTTGGACCATCTTGCTGGGGATAAGGTCCCTTTCCCTGAGAAATAGACATGAGAACAAAATTAGGATTCTGTTAGTAGATAAGGGGTGAGTGCCTGATGGCTAGGCAACCAACAGTATCTGTTACAGCATGGATTCTTGGAAATAGTAAGCATTAAATATATGTTAGCTATTGTTAGTAACTCTTATTAGCTGTGTGAACTTTAAGTCACATACCTCCTAAAGTTCCAATTTCCTCATCTATAAAATAGGGATAGTATTAAATATTTTGTTGGATGGTTATCAAATTAAGAGAGATGATATATGTAAACTCTGGTACTTAATAAATAACAGCTATTTATTATAGTTGCACATAATTATTGCCAGAGTACTTGGGTAGCAGTTTAAGTCTGAGATTCCTGAGGTTGGCCCCAGCCTGGCGTATGTAATTTTTTTTTCTCTGCAGCTCATAGGATCTTTTCTTTGTCCCCTGTGTTCTAAGATTTCATGATTATGTGCCTTTGTATAGTTTTTTTTTTGTCTTAGCCTTTGTGCTGGACAGTGACCCTTTTCAATTTGGAAACTGATATCCTACAAGTCAGAGAAATTTTCTTGAATTATTTCTTTTATGATTTCTATCCATCCATTTAACATGTGTTCTCACTCTGGAAACTCCTATTATTCATGTGTTGGTCTTCTTGACTGACCAAGTGAATTTATTATCTTTTGTCTCCTATTTTCCATCTCTTTGTCTTTTTGCTCCACTTTCTAGGAGATTTCCTCTATTTTAGCCTCCAATCCTCCTACTGAGTTTTTCATTCATTTCTGTTATCTTATTTTGAATTTCTAAGGGTTTTCTCCTACTCTCTAAATATTTTCTTTTTATTTGCTTCCTTTTATTTGCTTGCAATATCTTCTTATTTCTCAGAAAATATTAAATATCAAATATAGTATCACTCAGCTTAATCTCTGTTTCCTCTAAGTTCTTCTTTTCTCAATGTTTTGGCCTCTGTCCTGCGTGTTAGTTTCCTGAGATGTCTGGTAGTCCTAAGATATATGCTCACATTTAAGATTATAACCTAAAAATCTAATTGGAAGAGAGCTTGGTGGGGATTGTTGATTACAGACTTCATTGTGATCTAGCTAGATCATTATATTGGTATCAGGATATTTAGGTCTATTGTCTTGGGCTGTCAGATTCTCAGAGAGGAAGCATCCAATTTATTGCCCAGAGAATATATATCTGACTTTCAGTGGAGGGCATTTGGGAGAAGGCTGAAGTCCTGATGTTTGATAAGCTTTTGCTTAATCCCTATTTTCAATATAGGATCCCACCCTCAATATTGCTTAATGTTATCCAGTCCAGAGACTATCTACCCATAGAGCATAGACCTCAGTATTTAGCTAGAATCAGAGGAGCAGCAGTTGCCTTGCTGAGGTGGTGATCTGGGTTTAAACTTGCTTCTAATACCAACACTGCCAGTTATTTTAGTGTCTACCAACTCTAAACCCAACCTTCTGTACTCGGCTTTGCAACACTGGAGTTGGGACTGTGCAAACCACAGTAATTTTTTCAGTTACTCCTTTTTAGAATGCCCATAGAGGGCAATAGAGAGAAACTGGAAGGCTGGAGAAAGAAGGGACAAGCGACTCCCTGTTGTCTTCCTGCTGCTGTGAGCAGTCCCCCCAGCAGTGCTTTGCTCCAGCAACAACAGTTGAAGTCAGTTTACAGTTTTTCCAAAACTCACAGAACCAGCCTCATCATGCCCCCAGACCAGAAACAGCAGCACCAGCTGAGCAGCAATCCCTCATCAGGGTTCTGGAACCCAGCCCCATGAGCCCCTCCTCCAAGCTTCTAAATTCTAATAATTCCATCCTTTTTCCTTCCCCAGCCCTGGGAGTGATAGCTGCTTCCTGTAGTCACTGCCTCCATGAATCTTAGAGCTCTCTTTGTACCTTAGGGCTCTTTTCAGTTATATAGTTAATAACTTTATGTCTAGTTGACATTTCTTTACATTAAATTCCTTCTTTTAAAATAGTTGAAAATAAATAATTTCTGTCTCTAGATCCTGGCTGATACACCACTTTCAATGAAAACTTTTGTTTTCCAGCCCCACTTACACCACACTTTCAGAGGTATGGGTGGCCTCCAAATCCTGAATCTGGAGTTTCATACCAGATATTAGCTTCCTTCTTGGTCTACCTAATCCATTTGAGAAATTTAAGAGTCAGCCTCTTCTGGTCTGCTGGGTCAGTAATTATTTTTCCATCTGCTTTCTTGCTTCTAAAATTTTGTTGTTTTCTCTCCCAAACTCTTTGTCCCTGTAGGATTTTGCTTTTTTAAAAAAAAATTTGTTTGTTGTCATAATTTGGAAAAGTATGGAATCTGGAAGAGGGAACTCATTACTTTTTAAAAAGTAAGAACAAGGGACTAGTTTTTAAAGCGATGACAACAAACTTGGAAAAAATACTGCCATGTCAGGATGGCTGTCTCCTCTGGTGGTAAAGAGTGGAGCAGGATCCAGGAGGAGGCAGATGGGGATCTTCTTTTACTCTGTTTCTAATTTCTGTATATGAATTTCAATCATTCTGTACATGATAAATTTCACAATTTTTAAAAGACTAAACTTCAGCATACAACTCTATCAGTTAGCATGTATTCAGCTTCACAGAAAAGAAACTTGACCACAGAGGTTTAACCAACAGAAGCATAATTTCCCCCCATATGATAAAATCTAGGGAAAGGCAGACCAGGATTAGTACAATATCTCTATAGTGTCATGGGCATTCAGGCTCCTCCTGGCCTTGGGAGTGATCATGCTTGCTTTTGTCTTTTTTTTTAGGTGCATTTTTTTAGATTGAAGTATCATTGATACACAATCCTATATTAGTTTCAAGTATACAACACAGTGGTTCAACAGTTACCCATATTATTAAGACCTCCCCCATGCCACCAAGTACAGTTACTATCTGTCAACATAGGAAGATATAACAGAATCATTGGCTATATTCTCCATGCTATATACTATGCCCATGACCAGCCTAAATTATGATTGAACATATTTGTGCCCCTTTATCCTCCTAAACTTCTCCTCCTATGCACCCCAATTCCTCCCACATGGTAACCACCAGTCACTTCTCAGCGTCTATGAGCCTACTGTTGTTTTTTTTTCATTCTGTTTTACTTTGTATTTATATTCCACAAATAACTGAAATCATACAGTATTTGTCTTTCTCTACCTGGCTTATTTCCCTGAGCATAATACCCTCTAGATCCATCTGTGTTGTTGAAAATGGCAGGACCTCTTTTATTTTTATGGCAGTATAATATTCAATTGTGTATATGTGCCACTTCTTCTTTAGCCATTCATCTGTTGATGGACACTTAGGTTGCTTCCATTTCTTGGATATTGTAAATTATGCAGCAATAAACATAGAGGTGTATATATCTTTTCAAATCAGGTACTTTATTTTCTTTGGGTAAATTCCTAGAAGTGGAATTACTGGGTTGAATGGTATTTCTATTTTTAGTTTTTTGAGGAACCTCATACTGCTTTCCACAGTGGTTGCACCAATTTACATTCCCACCAATGGTGTAGGAGGGTTTCCATTTCTCCACATCCTCA